CAAAGAATGTGTTAAGTGTTATCTCATGATTAATGCAGGCCCGTATGTTTACATTTCTTTTAAGCCTTTGTCACCCAGTTAGCGCTAGATTTCTTTTAACAAATTAAATCTTACTTGCTGTCAAAGAAGGTAAACACGACAGATAGGGACAGGGGGTGGTGTAGACATTTCTGATCAGACAGATATGTGTGTAAGTACAAGGTTATGATAACTAGGTGATAATGTTGACAGATTGGTGAGCTATATTTAACTTACGTTGACAGTTTATTGAGCTATAATCAACTAACATTGACAACCGTTGCTACAATAGAAAGAATTATGGCGGCAACATTAGTACGGTGGATGTAAATATAAAAACGCTTTGATAAAATTAGGAGTAAAGTTCACCGAATCTGACAAACGTAATGGATTAAGGAAAACGTCAATTTAAAAAACAACAACAACGTAGTTTGTGAGGCCAATCCTGGAATAATTTGCGGCCTTAGATAAAAATTTCTACGGAGTTAGTTTTTAACTTTCTCAATAATTCCATACTATGCCTAAATTTCGTATGGTATTTATACCAATGTACGAGTAAACCATTGGTATACATTTAATTATTTCACTAGATTTCTAGTTTTAGTCAAGGGAAGTTAAAACTAATCATTCTCACGATAATTCTTAATTAAAATATGTCTCACGTGACATTCCTCACAACTAAAAGACAAGTCAGCACACCGAAGTCCGGTTAAACTATGCTTTTGTAAGACTGAAATACGAACTTTTGTATTCTTTGCTCGACAGGTGACGGTAAGTCGAGATGGTGAAACGAACATTGTCGGACAGCGAACTTTTCGCCCACTCCAAGAACCGGCACGAGTTGAACCACCTGCAGCGAACCCTGCAGCAGATCCGCCTCGACGAGAGCCAGACCCTCGACACGACCAGGATCGAATCCTACAAATGGCGGGAGTTTCTGAAAGAAAATTATCGCAACACCGGCCACAGTCCTCTGGGGATTCGAACCCAGGTCGCTGAGGCGAGTAAACCGTCCCAGGCAAGTGGTTCAGACTTCCGGCCAGCTTCCACCCCCCACACGCTCCAGCCGCCGTGGCTGTTAGTCTACAGCTCCAGCTCCTACAACAAGCTGTACAATGACGTCATAGACGTCAGCTCGGCAGCCCATCATGGCGTCAAGCCACTGCGCATGTCTGCCAGCGGAGTCAGTAATTCCGGAAGTAGAAACACGCCGGTTCTCGCAACGCACGTGAGCGCTGCCGTAGGGGTGAAGCGAGTACACTCAGCCTGGGGTCACGGTGAAAAGTTGTTAAAATTAAGGGATACTTTAGGCCTACAAAGACCTAAAACCACAGGGCATGTGGCAGATAACTCAGCGGATGCCACAACCACCTACAGCCTCAACTGTGAGATGAAACCTGTAGCTACAATACCAGGAGATGACCCGTCCACGAACCGAAACAGGTCACCAAGTTTTGCGAAAAGCGTGGCGGCGATGAACGCGCTCAGAAAGACCAAAGAAACATGGAAATGCGCAATTTGCGGGAGTGAGAAAATCCCCTCGCAAACGTTGCAGTACGCTGGTCTAGATTATAAGGGGTTGGATAAGGTGAAGGACACTTTAGAAAAACTCAAACAGCTACCCGTTGACCCTTTCTTACAGAACGAGCCAAAGCTTGGTATAGCGGGTGGAAGTACTTCCACAGAGCCAGTCCCTAACAGTGTTCTAGAACCAAGAAAGAACAGTTCACCAACTAGAGCTCGGTCAGGATCAACCCTTGCCGACACAAACATAGTTCCAGTTAGACACGGGCTGAAGTCTTGTTCAAGTTCAAAGCCTTGCCACTCAAAGTGCGGCAAACCCACGGGGACCGAGCAGTCGACAGCCGTGGACTTGGGTTACAAAGTTTCAAAGGACATGTCGGTAAAAAACGGTGAAAGTAAACCTGTATCACATCAAGTAAACAGCCACAAACACACAACCCATCAGCAAGTTACATCAAGCTACAAACCCAAACCATATCAGCAAGTTACATCAAGCTACAAACCCAAACCATATACGCTAGGCACAGCTAGCAATAACAAGCCCATAACCCAACAGCTAGTCACAGCTAGCAATAACAAGCCCACAACCCATCAGCTAGTCACAGCTAGCAATAACAAGCCCACAACCCATCAGCTAGTCACAGCTAGCAATAACAAGCCTACAACCCACAAGCAAAGCCCATCTACCTATACCAGGGTATTCACCGCCCGTCAAGAAACATCTTTAGACAACCCAACCATTGGTCAACTAGACCAACCAGACAAGTCAACCATGGATGAACAAGACCAACCAGTTTATGCCAACCCCACCTTTCCTCAGTTGTTTACCAAACAGGAGCGCCTCAAAATAAAAGTGGAAGAAAAACAAAATAGCCCTATACTCAACGCGCGTGAAAACAATGCTCAAAATAATGACCAAATCGATTCCAATGAGGGAATCGATGACGTAAGAGAGGAAACATTAGGTCCAAGTGCTACAATAGCGCCCAGTGACGGTATCGATACACCCATGTCAGATGGCAAGGCGGATCACGGAGATCGAATAAGTAGTTCCGTCAACAAAGCCATCCCGACAAGCACGGCGTCGGCATTGAAGGGAAATCGATACATCGATACGGAAATTAGGATTGACGGATCCCAATCGTACCAGAACTCCGATAACGTGAAGCCCGGGTACGAGAGTACGGAGCCACTTTGTCAAAGTGAAATCGCTCCCTCAAACAATCTTCAAGATATGGAGGATCAAAATTTGGGACAATTTAACACCGGAACTAATGTTGATATAGTGCCAGAAAGCACAAAAAAGGACTCAGTTCAAGAGATTGGTCTTGAAGGAAAGGAAACAAGCGAGAAGGTATTTACACTTGAACAACGCAAGGCACGGTTTAAAAAGGAAGTCTTACCCGGTGCAGACGACAATGATAAAATGAACAATGCAGATAAGGCTAGCCCACCCCACAAGTGGAATCGACCAGACGGTGATAGGATAAACATTCCTCGGGGGTCCGTGGAGAAATTAGGCAATGAACACACAAGGGAGGGGACTCTCAAAAATCTGATGACGTCACATAACACGGAAACTAGCGTCGACGGAAATTTCGTTTCCACGAAAGACGAAAAATGGAGTGTTTACAAACATAACAAAAAACCTAAAGAGGCTGGACCAGACGGTCAAAACCAAAGGTTTTACACACACATACAACCCACGCAGCTAAACCAAATTCATCTAGACGTCCCCAGGCACAGATCTAAGGCTCTGCTACCGACCAGGACGGTAGAAAGTAAACATTTTACAGGACAAAACAAACGAGCACATTCTGTATCATCAAGCCAGACTCAGTCGTCTGCTACGGACAGCTCCACATCAGCGCCACCTAGCGGCTACAGCAGCGACACCAGTAGCTCCCTCCCCGCCTCTCTAGCGCCATCTAGCGTACACAAGTCAGACCTCGCCAAGGTAAACACGACAAACCAGATCAAACCGGATCTCATCTCCCACAAACACGTGATCCGGATGTGCGACCGAGACGTCGATGACCTACTTCTAGGAGACGGAGCGGCCATCGAGTACAAGGGCGTGGTTTTAAGGAACTACATCCGGCCCCAGCTCCGGTACAAGACGGCAGCCAAGGAGAAGCTGAAGAGGTCGCCCAGCATCCACCTGCATGCTGTAGGTGGCGCCATCGTCACGGTGTATGAACAGCCCGACAAGGCCAGACTTTTGGACATTGTCTTCCCAAAACAAGCGAGGCAGAAGGCGCTGGCGAAGATGGTTGAAGAGAACCATCGTAGGTCCCTGAACGCCGGAGGTGGGCTGACGGATGCCGTTATCAGGAGGAGGATCGAGAACTTCTTGAAGTCTGTGGAACCTTATTGCAGAAATGACAGCTGAAGTTCGGACTAATTAGATCTTAATGAAAATCTTCTTAGTGTCTGTCGAATTTTTATTGAAATTTTTATTGTAAAACTGACAGCTGTAGTTCGGACTAATTAGATCTTAATTAAAATCTTCTTAAAGTCTGTCGAATTTTATTGTAAAACTGACAGCTGTAGTTCGGACTAATTAGACTAGATCTTAATGAAAAACTTTTTAAAGTCTGTCGAATTTTTTTTGTAAAACTGACCGCTGAAGTGTGGACTAATACGATTTTAATAGAAAACTGTTGAATACCAATACTTGTTGCACTGTTCCGTAAAACTCCAAAACATAAGCTTGTCAAACATTACCGTAGAACTGCTAAATATTAAATTTGACTAAGCTTACCGTGAAGCTTCTATTAAGTATTTTCAGACATTTAAGTAAAACTGCTAAAAATAAATTTGTTAAACTAGCCTACAAAACTGCAAAATATTTTTACTTTAAAATTTTTGTGTAAAACCTGTATATATGAACTTGTTAAACCTAACCGTAAAACTGCTGGTATATTTATACTAGGTAAAGCTAACTGCGAAACTGCTGTCATATTTATGCTTGTTAAACACGTGTTCCATTTATTTTTATGTTTTTATTTCGTATTTATTTTATTATTTTTGAATAAACTACTTTGTACAGCTATGTCATTCTTTAGTATGTCTTATTTAAATACTAATTAAGAGAAGCAATCGGTTTTTAATTTGCTTATTACACAATATTTAAATGAACTTTATGGACACCCCTATAAACTATTTAAAGATAAGCAATAAGTCATGAAAGTGGTCTGAATGTTTCACACTGATGCTCATGTAGGTTTTATTTCTACACAGCAGTGTGTGTTAATAGTTAATGTAGAACAATCACTACTGTAGTAATTGTTTTAGTCTATAAAGGTGGAAGACGAAATTATTTATAGTTTTTTTTTGTTCGGATTTTGGGTCCCCTTAACGGAATGCCCCACTGTTTGGGGTCTGGCAGTATGGTAGTTCCGCCCCTGGTGATGGTAAATGTAGAGTTGTGTATTTGTTAATTTCTATGAAAAACACAGTCGTTACAGTATTGTTGCAAAATGTTTTATTTAAAAAATAAATGTATTTACGGTAAGTCCCCCCGAAAGAGACTTAAGATCAGAAAGAAAAGTAGTGTAAATATCTTGAAATGTATATAAAACCTCAGATTAACGTGTAAAACTAGTAACAATTTGCGATAGCTTAACATTGAAACACTGCAGTTTCCACCACCAAAAATCAACGTTTGTGATTTCTGCCGTTCGATTACCAATACCCTGATCTACGTCGTATGTCATCTTTTCTACAACTAGACATTCATACTTGTTTAAATAATTCATGTATTGCTTACACAGTTTAATCTTTCCAATTCTGTACAAAGTTTATCAGTCGCTAATAAAGATGTACACCATGAAACTGTTACAATACATCTGAGTGAATGTTTGGATCGATCGTAATATAAACATGAACTATTTAAAGAAGCCCATGCCCGGTGAAGTGTTAAGAAAGTACCCGCGTTTGTCCCACATGACGCAGTGTGCGTCTTTTTCCACGCTCACCGCTTTAGTGGAGTTGTTTACAAACAGGAGGCGCTTTTCAGAGGCCGAGCCGTCGGTTGTGTTTTCAGACCAATGAGGCCAGTACACAAAAGTTGGTGACGTATGGCTCATGTTCCCGTTGGGGTTGTTGTGATGCATGAAGTTGGAGTAGTATCTGATGATGTCGTTACTGGCACGGTAGTCGTCAGCAGAGGCGTTGAAACTGATGGCGAGGAAACTTTGGAAGACGAAAGGGATTTCTGTGGAGTGGCAGACACGCCCCTTGCACTCGGGTAGCTCCGGGGGCGGCTCGGCGTTGACGGCGTGGTCCCAGGTGTACAACCAGATGGACGGGTTGTCCCTGGCCAGCTGGCCAACCACGTGGTTGACCGGGCAGCGGAATATGAAATCCGTTGCTATGGTAACCATGGTCTCTCGAACGTCGATAGGATCGTCAACGGGGTAGAGGCTGCTGAAGTCATCAGGGAGGTCGGAGAACGCCAGGGTCATGGCCATAGCGTACATGGGCTCAGCCAGGCGAGACGGGAAGGCTTTGTAGACGTAGGCCAGGCCCTCGTCGGTGGTGGTGCCCCAGATCATGGGCTTATCGTTGGCAGGGGAAGTAGAGTAGGCTTTTAAAGCCTCCATAGGCTGGAGCGTGACCATCTTATCGTCCACCACCGGCCTCCACGGCTCGATCTTGTCGAAGATGTCCGTATCATCCGATGGCAGCGCGCGCTCGGCCAGCATGACGTCATCCTCAGGTTTCTCCCGCAGGCACTCCATCAGGCTTTGGGTGGGGGTAGTCTGGCAGCCTAGGCCCCGGGCTAGCCCGGCCCCCTGTTCTGAGGCCTCGGACAGCGTCTTGTAGGGTACAACCAAGGGTGGGCTCTCGATGATGACGCTGTGGAAAAGGTGTCTTGTGGAGCCAGAGGTCAGGTGGATGAGAAGGGACTGGGCACCGGCACTCTGTCCAGCTAGCGTCACCTGGTGTTAGACCAGCACATATTTAAACATGCAATTTAGGTTTTTTCTTTCAAACCCTCAAATAGTTTCCAAAATAAAGCATAATTCAAGGACATGTAAATAGGGTTGGTTTATAAATAATACTGAACATTTTAACATTTTAGCTGAAACATTTCACCCCAAAAAAAAAAAAGAAAAAAAAAAAAAGCAAAACAAAAACAACAAAACAAAAACAAACCGAAAATAAACAAACAAACAAACAAACAAAAAAACCAACATTTAATATCGAGTTAAAACTAAGACGCTATAGATAGAACAAAAAATTGAACTTGAACCACTCCTTACCCTATTAGGGTCGCCACCAAAGACTTGGATGTGTTCCTGAACCCACTCAAGTGCCAGCTTTTGATCCAGTAGACCATAGTTCCCTCGCGCATCCAGTGTGTTGTTACCAGTAACCAGAAAACCAAATACCCCTGGTGGTCAATTGTTACATTAATGTTACATTAAGGAGTGGTAAAACCAAATGTTACATTAAGAGTGGTAAAACCAAATGTTACATTAAGGAGTGGTAAAACCAAATGTTACATTAAGGAGTGGTAAAACCAAATGTCACATTAAGGAGTGGTAAGACCAAATGTTACATCAAGGTGAGGTAAAATCAAATGTTACATTAAGGAGTGGTAACACCAAATGTTACGTGAAGGAGAGGTAAAACCAAATGTTACATCAAGGAGAGGTAAAACCAAATGTTACATCGAGGAGTGGTAAACCAAATGCTACATCAAGGGGAGGTAAAACCAAATGTTACATCAAGGAGAGGTAAAACCAAATGTTACATCGAGGAGTGATAAAACCAAATGTTACATTAGCAGGTGTTACATAACTAGGTATTAAAACGTATTAAAGAACCTAGAATAAAAAAAAACAACTAATACTACTTTGTTGTCGAGGCTTACAACTTTGGCTGTTGAGGCTCACAACTTAGGCTGTAAACGATCGGGTTTCTCACCTAATCGATAGTTGAAGAGAACCACGACAATGCCAGCGGTCAGGGCTAAGTTCCTGGCATCAAAGAGCGAGGAGGACGCGGACATTTCGTTGAAGCCACCCCCGTGGATGTAGACCATGACAGGTAGGGTCTTGTCCGGGCCGGCAGAGACAGGTGAGTATATCTCCAGGTGTAGGCAGTCTTCTGAAGTCTGGGGGTTAGGAAAGTTGGTTGATAGTTTTATTTTCTCATGGTATGGATGGTGATTAGAACATGGATTGTCTTGGAAATTTCTGACCGTTGATTGCAGTAGTTGAAAAACAGAGTCAAAATGTTAAAATGCAATTTTACTGAGATAGAATTAGGTTTGTCATGTGACTTTATCTAAATATTCAAGCAATACGCTATTTAAACACATTAGAGATTGAGGGTGGGTGGGGGGTGGGGTGGGGTGGAGGTGGATAAGCGAGGGGTTTACAAATTACATAGTGGTGTTGATTAATTAAGGAGTACTTTGCAAAACACTAAACTCACTTAAAGATTGAATTAAATTTATTGAAATGATGAAAAGATTTGCATCAAAGTATTTTTAGCATTCTAATTTTGTAAAAAACTGTAGATTGATACATCAAATACATGGCATATATGAAATAGATCTACATTTTTCCTAAGATGCCTTGCAGATTATGTAACTGGACTCATCTGTTCTATCTAAAATTTCTAGATGACCACTTACCTCAACTGGACAAAACATAGCAACGTTACATTTCTAGATGACCACTTACCTCAACTGGACAAAACATAGCAACGTTACATTTCTAGATGACCACTTACCTCAACTGGACAAAACATAGCAACGTTACATTTCTAGATGACCACTTACCTCAACTGGACAAAACATAGCAACGTTACATTTCAAGATGACCACTTACCTCAACTGGACAAAACATAGCAACGTTACATTTCTGCGGACAGCCAGGTCGACTGTAGGTGGCGTCGTATACGTTAGGTGACCAGGGGCGATGACTCTCTGGCGGTTTCCACCTGTGGAGTGGCAGTATGGTTAGTGCAAGTCACGATACACTGTAACATCGATACATTGTTATAGCGATACATTGTCAGAGCGATACATTGTAATATCGATACATTGTTATAAGTGATACATTGTAATATCGATACATTGTTGTAGCGATACATTATTATATCAATGCATTGTCATTGCCATACATTGAAATAGCGTTACATTTTCAGAGCGATATATTGTCATATCGATACATTGTTATTTGCGATAAATTTTCGGAGCGATACATTGTCAGATCTATACATTGTCATATCGATACATTGTCAGAACGAATGGTGAGATCATATGAACACGTTTATGGCTACTAGAGGCATACAATGTTTTTTAAATAGATAATGTTAACATTATTTTAGCTCAACAAGTATCATCATGTAAACAAGTGTTTTTTAAATAGATAATGTTAACATTATTTTAGCTCAACAAGTATCATCATGTAAACAAGTTTACAGGCCAGCAATAATTAACAGTACTATACTTTTGTTCTAGCCTAAAACTTATTTGTTTCTTACAGACAAAAGCTGCACAAAATAGAGATGTTACAGAAATAACATAAGGTAGCTGTACATACTCGAAGGACGCGGGGGGGGGGGGGGGGGGGAGAGTTAGGCATCCGTCAGTCAGTAGCCTACCAATATGAAGGTGCCTATGTTACACTGATCTGACAGTGAGTATAAGTACCTGACTGTAAGCATAAATACCTGACAGTAAGTATAAATACCAAACAGAAAGTATAAGTACCTGACAGTAAGCAGAGTTTCTTCCAGGCATCTCTTCGGGGGGGGGGGGGGGGCGAATTTTTTTTACCGCCCCCCCCCCGAACGAAATGAAATTTATATAATTTATATAGAAATTATATACTTTTAATAGTGTCCCCCCCCCCCGAAGAAAGTCTACCGCCCCCCCCCCCCCCTCCCGAAAATTTCAAGTGCCCCTCCCGGAGAAAAAAGTCTGGAAGAAACACTGACAGTAAGTATAAATACTTGACAGTACGTATAAATACCTGACAGTAAGTATAAATACCTGACAGTCAGTATAAATACCTGACAGTAAGTATAAATACCTGACAGTAAGTATAAATACCTGACAGTTAGTATAAATACCTGACAGTAAGTATAAATACCTAACAGTAAGTATGAATACCTAACAATAAGTATAAATACCTGACAGTAAGTATAAATACCTAACAGTAAGTATGAATACCTAACAATAAGTATAAATACCTGACAGTAAGTATAAATACCTGACAGTAAGTATAAATACCTGACAGTAAGTATAAATACCTGACAGTAAGTATAAATACCTGACAATAAGTATAACTACCTGACAGTCAGTATAACTACCTGACAGTCAGTATAAATACCTGACAGTCAGTATAAATACCTGACAGTCAGTATAAATACCTGACAGTAAGTATAAATACCTGACAGTAAGTATAAATACCTGACAGTAAGTATAAATACCTGACAGTAAGTATAAATACCTGACAGTAAGTATAAATACCTGACAGTAAGTGTCACAGACTGTATTATTATGTATCCTTATTATATTGTGTTTTGCATGAATGAAGAGTACCTGGCTAGCGGAAGGACTGTCTGAGCGATCGTCATGTGTTTTTACGTGTTTTGGGTGAGATCGCTCATTGACGTAAGGGGAGAGAAAGTGGTGAATAAAAGGGAGAGAAAAAGGTGAACGGGTGTTGTGTGCTAGGACTGGGGACTTGAACTGTGGCAGTGAATGGAAGATGTCTCCATGTCACTTGGAGTCGTGATTGTGATTGTTACATATACCAGTTGTTCTTCTACTATGGATTTACCACGGATTTGTCATTTTCACTGTATATAGTGTAAATAAAGTTGTCATTTGAAGTTGCCACTATCGCTCGTGTTCCTGTATGAAAATTAACCCACAACAACAAAGAATTCATGTTGTTACAGTAAGTATAAATACCTGACAGTAAGTATAAATACCTGACAGTAAGTATAAATACCTGACAGTAATTATAAATACCTGACAGTAAGTATAAATACCTGACAGTAAGTATAAATACCTAACAGTAAGTATAAATACCTGACAGTAAGTATAAATACCTGACAGTAAGTATAAATACCTGACAGTAAGTATAAATACCTGACAGTAAGTATAAATACCTGACAGTAAGTATAAATACCTAACAGTAAGTATAAATACCTGACAGTAAGTATAAATACCTGACAGTAAGTATAAATACCTGACAGTAAGTATAAATACCTGAGGGGACCCACAGGTGGGCGAGCATAAGGTATCCCATGAAACACCCGGATATTTTGATACTGCAGGCCTCGTATAGATCCGAGTTTTGTTTGGATCTCAACAATGTCGTGAGGTTCCCTGGAAATGTTCCTCATTGTAGCGTTCAGCTTCGGTGTCGTAGCTTGCTGTGTAGCCCGCCGCAACAGGACCGGTAGCCACGCGTACAGGGTAGCAATCATCACCAGGGCAACGGCAGTAGCCACTAAGCATGTAGCCCGACCTATACGTATGTAGCAAAAAGTTTTGACTTGACATATTGACATTCACAAAGTTAAACAAAGGACATCTTCTCTGTCTCTCGAACAGGTTCATCTAGTAACTAAAGTAACGTTACCCTTTTGAACATGGTGGTCTTTGTGGAAGTAGAAGTAGAGTTCATCTGTTGCTGTGACTTTTCATATGAACGTTTAGAATGGCCAGCCTCTTATGCTTTCTCTAACGCAAGCCAGGTACCCATCAGAGCTGGGTAGGCTCACGAAGGTCCCATGGACTAGAGCCCGGGATCCGAACTCGAGACTTTAGGGTTTACATCACAAACACGGGTACCTACGCTCACATGCCTGCGCGAACACATAGCCACACACACACAAACACACATACACAAACACACTTAGAGGCGTCTATACGCCCACACCCACCCACCTATCCATAACCCCCCCCCCACACACACACCCCACAATCAGTTATTTCCATCCAGTTACCACGATTCCCTTTGAAGTCTGTGACTTGTTTGGATTGGACATTAGCGGTTCCCATTGTATGATCCTGAAAAAAAAATTAAATAAATCTTTTAATCCTTACAATGGTATCTATTAACTTCACGATAAATATAAACTTGTTTGTCTGATTAAAGCTCACTACAATACATTTTGTAGAAATTACATTTTACATTTTAGAAATAATAAAATGTTAAAAAAAAGTTATAAAAAAACTAGACCTAAACGGTTGTAGTAAATAATTTGACACCAATTCAATTATTCATGAAAGTTAACCAAGTATAGGCATACATAGAAGCGTCTAGAACATTGTCTTAGCCTTAGCTGGGTGCGCGTAGCGTAGGCCCTAGCCCTAGGTGTATGCTTGTAGGCCCTAGCCCTAGGTGTATGCTTGTAGGCCCTAGCCCTAGGTGCATGCCTGTAGGCCCTAGCCCTAGGTGTATGCTTGTATGCCCTAGCACCTGGCCTGGGTGTATGTGTGTAGGGCGGTCTAACCTTAGGGCCCCAGGCACACAATGTCCTACATTACATGGAAGCTTGTAGGCCCTTCTCTTCTCTAGGCCCTTCTCTTCTCTAGGCTCTTCTCTTCTCTAGGCCCTTCACTCATCTAGTCCTATTCCGATGACAGAGCTACATCTATTACCTCTTATAAATCTAAAAAATCGGTATTAATAGTGAAATAGTACAGAAGATTTTGTTCAGCTTTGGAGAAAGTTAACATTTTCATTAAGAAATTTACCATATTGACGTTCTCAAGGCATCCATTCAACACTGTAATCTACTTCTGCTTTGCTATGTGCAATTTTCTACACATTATCCGATGACGTCATTGTATTAGCTATTAGACTAGATTCTGATAGACTTTCATATTCAAATCGCCGAAAATAATGGCTTGTTATCAAAATATGGACACTAGACTCGTGTTTTCTATCGCATGTTGGGGTGAATTGAGGGGTCGTCCACAAATGTATTAAAAAAATAAATGTGTTTATAACTGTATAGGAAAGAGCGCGCGTTATGAACCATGGTTTAATATAAATAAATAAATAAATAAAATAAATGTTGAAAAATAAATTGGGCCAAAATGCCCACCAGGGTTTTAAAAATTACTTTTGGGCTCCCAAAGGAAGCTTTACCTAGTTTGACTAATACTTTAATCCGGTACTGCCCTCCATTCCACGAATTTGTAACGTATTTATCTTTTTTCCCAAAAGTATAATTAAAAATAGATTGCTAGCTCAGATCAACTTATGAATATTTATATAAGACATTTCGATATATAAAATAAGAGGTTTTAGGCTATTTAAAAACATCAACAAAAATAATTTCTACCTTAAAATGGGAAGAAATGCAAGGTCGTTACGGAACAGCTACAGTAAACATTTCTACCCTACGTGCATATGTTAGGGCCCTTAAGCCACTCGCACAGAAGACACCTACATTTACGTATTGTTTAGACCGATCAATAAACCCACAACACACGCTCTTGAAAGCAGATGTTGCTCAGATGATTACAGGTGGTATGTGGTGTGGTCTAAACAGAGCTGAACAATAGTGGCGCTAAAACAAAAGCTAAAAGGTCTAGCTGGGTCGTGATCCATGCACAGCCAGAGAAATTAGCTCCACCAAGTATAGCTAGAGAATGCAGATGAGTATAGCTTGAGTAAATAGCTGAGCCAAATATAGCTAGAGAAAGTAGCTGAGTATAGCTAGAGAATGTAGCTAAGCCAAGTATAGCCAGAGAAATTAGCTCAACCAAGTATAGCTAGGTAATGTAGCTAAGCCAAGTATAGCTAGAGAAATTAGCTGAGCCATGGACAGCCAGAGCAATTAGCTCAACCAAGTATAGCTAGAGAATGTAGCTAAGCCAAGTATAGCTAGAGAAACAAGATGAGCCATGGACAGCCAGAGAAATTAGCTCAACCAAGTATAGCTAGAGAATGTAACTGGGCCATGCACTAGTGCTGATCTAAGCGCCAATTATAGCTCGTGAAAATAGCTGAACCAGTGGCGTAGCCAGGATCGTCTCATGGGGGGGGGTTCAAATTTTTTCCAGCATTTTATATATATATATATATATATATATATATATATATATATATATATATATATATATATATATATATATATATATATATATATGTGTGTGTGTGTGTGTGTGTACATATGCATGTGTAAGTGCGTGCGTGTAAAGTATTGGTGGCTGGTGACAATAGAAACTCGTGGGTGCCACCGACTAACTTATCTTAGTATTAGCTATTGTTTTGTAACAAGTAACACATGTACACTATCGTAAAAAAATTATAAAAATCAAATTTCCATCATTTTCAGCAGTTTTCTCCAACTAAAAATTTCCTTGTCGGCCGCAAAATATTAGAGATTCTATTATGGGCGCTAATCTTAAACGATTTTCTTGAATTTGTTGACTTATGATAAATTTAAGGAGATTTTAATAAGTTAATTTTTTTTTCTCCATCACCGATTTACGATTTTGGGAAAGTAAAATTGCTCTTTTATGATACTCACATTGCTGGTGCTCATTAAACTTGTCTGTTGCCTTTTTCCAGTTTGAAAATGAAATTTTTGATAGCTTATCCATAGGCTGACTACCTACACCACGATAATTCAAACTAATCAAAACACAATATTTGCAAAATGCGCCATCAAGTAATTTGGAATAAGTCAACCAGTTCCACCTAAGTAGCCACAAATATTGAAACTTTAAATTTCTTTGTCCGCTTGCTGGAAATTTTAAAAGTTCATCAGGACGCCAGATGTTTTCTAATAAATACAACCGTGTATCGTCTGTTATAACTCCTTTGATAAAATTGCCGATATCATTTGCGTAAGAAACAGTCGAAGGTGCTGAATTTATGGAAATTTCTTGATGTAATGTACTTTGAAAAGCAATAGTACCATCTTCATTTTTATCATTTTCAGTTTTACTTTTCTTTGTAAAGAAATCAGTTAATAAAGTAGTTTTTAATTTCCTTTTTCCTTCCGCCATCATTAAAATGAATTTAAATTGCTTGAAGTAGTTAAAAGATACACATTAAAACACGACTATACGAAGAAGAAAGCAAATTATTATTGGTCTTCTATTCTGTCTAAATTGACTACTGTAGGTTCCTGGCTTTACATCTATATTTAACCAAATACGCAGTTTTTTTTATATAGCCTACCAACACAAAGTTTTGTGTCAACAATTGTGGGTCAAGCCCACGCCTTCCTGCCAGATGTGCATCCGGTAGTATTTTATAATTGATACGTACCAATATTCATCCCACCCTCACCCCCTTTTACACCCCTTAACTGATAACCTTGTTCAGCTTTCCCTTCGCCTATTGCGACCCTGAGTGTTTGTTGTTTAAGCACTGAATGATAGCGACACAAGTCCATCGTCGTCAATAGCTGTAACTTAACGTAAAGGATTGTCATTTTGAAGGTTCTACCCCCCCCCCTCCCCTCACCCCTGCCTACTCCTCCCTCTGCCATCTTTATCATTTTCAGTTTACTTATCTTTTTAAAAATTAAGTGAAATGAATTTCAAATGGTTTGAAGTAGTAAAAACATACACATTATAGAACCTCAATGCGAATAATAATCAATTCCTTTGTTTGTTTTTCATTTCTAGACGCTTTCCGATTGCACTACAATCATATTAGACAACAAAGGCCTACCCACGTAGCCCACCCCTCCCTTTCGACACTCCTTAACTGATCTAACCTTGGCCAACTTTCCCTTGGCCTACTGCGTTCCAGATTATTATACTTTACTTTAGCGCGATAATAAAATTCATAACTAAATTCTACAGGCAATTCTCATCACAATGATATACATTGTTGTTCTAGAGGCTGCCAGGCTTAAGTGTTTAGTGTTTAAGCCCTAAACAATATTGACACAAGTCAATAGCTATAGCTTAACGTAAAAAAGTAGTCATTTTGGGGGTCCATGGGGGGGGTTATAACCCCCCCTAACCCCCCCCTGCCTACGCCACTGAGCTGAACTAAGTATGATGGACAGATTTAAGAAGTCTTTTGTGATTAACAAATTATGTTTACATATAGTATTCCAGTACTTTATCAACGTTTTATACACACCATAAATCATTGTAGTCAGTAATGAATAAAAGTAATGCAACAGCAACCTATGGAAAAAAAAATAAAAAACAAAACAAAAACCAAAGAAAACATCAATAGCATGTAAAATACTAGCGTACCACTAACCTGGTGCGATGAAGGTGATCTATTAGTGTGAGTTAATGATGAGTTCAAATGGGAACTTGTTGTTTACAAGCTGGCTTTCAAGCTCTCTGGATACCAGACCTTGGCTAGCTGATGTTTCCCTGGGTTATGGATATCAGGTCTTACTCCCTCCTGGGTTAGGATACAAGGCCTTAACTAGCTTATGTTTTATTGATACGTGAAACCCCATGACAAGCTAGGATACTCAAATTACCTCAGACGTGGGGTAAAAGGAAGGGTTCTATAAACGGGATGGGGAGGGGCAGGATGGAGCTCTGAAAGCTAAATGTAACTTCAATTGAACAATTTTTAACCAGGAAAAAACAATGGTATGGACACGTCTTATAATCCTAACACTAATATGGCAAAGTAAAAAAAAAATATAATTTGTAAATACTTGTGTGATGACCTACCGTATACCCAGTGCTATAGCAAAATAGCTTTCTATGAGAGCGTGTTAATCAATGAGGTTACACGATTATGGAGATGGGGTGAGGACTCAGATATTTGTGACGAGATGGGACACGAATGATAGGAATAGAAAAAAAAAACTTGGCGAAATTGTGACTTCCTCCTAAAATCGAAACCTCACACCTTTACTGAAACACGTCGTACAAATGATCAAATTACACGTGAAGTAATGAAGGATGGAAGGTGTTTTGATCTCACCATGATTCATCGAGGAGATGGGAGGGTGGGTCGATGGTGCAACTGTGAGAATCCCTGGTCCTCTTAATGCCCGAACATCTGTGTCAAACAATAGACAGGATTGGGCGGCTATTGTTGGATTGGCGCTATGGGTGTGTGTGTGTGTTTGTGTATGTGTGTATGTGTGTATGTGTGTGTGTGTGTGTCGGGTGGAGAAACATCACCTGTTTCTGTATTAACTCAGTCAATTGTGAACTGTTTTTATAGCTTATGCAACATGAACTATTTTTATAATCAGTCAATGAACAAAGTAATTTCCCTAATTAAGAATTATTCTCATTATGAAACCTACTGACCATGTGGCTAAATATTTCATATTCGTTATTTAATCGAAAAAATATGATCGGTATTATTGGGATGCATTTCTCGCCAGCCCATTGATATACAGACCAATGGGATAGTGACCACTGAGATACAGACCACTGAGATATTGACCACTGGGATAGTGACCACTGGGATAGTGACCACTAGAAAAGTGACCACTGGGATAGTGACCACTGGGATAGTGACCACTAGAAAAGTGACCACTGGGATAGTGACCACTGAGATAGTGACCACTGAGATAGTGACCACTGGGATAGTGACCACTGGGATAGTGACCACTAGAAAAGTGACCACTGGGATAGTGACCACTGAGATAGTGACCACTGGGATACTGACCACTGGAATAGTGACCACTGGGATAGTGACCACTGGGATACAGACCACATGTGGCATGAAGATACTACCATATTTGTCTTTATGGTAACACCATATGCCACGTGGTGTGTGATGTAATAGATCTACCGGATGTATTACTTTTCCTTTTTTTTTCTAAAATTATAACTAGCTATAAAGTTTACGTCGATTACGCGTTTTGATATTTTCAATTTACTGACACTTATTAGCAGTTTAGTAGTCTAAAAATGAAATTGGGAAGATTACAATCTGTCCTTCAATCTCTGCCCCCCCCCCCCCCCTCGTTATCCATACCACGAGCGCCCGTCCCCTGATATAGAACAGACAACAAAAATTGTATTGCTGTATGACGTAGGGTACTTCTGAAGTTGCGACATGTTCTAAAGACCATAATTCTAAAGATGGAATCAAAGGGAGGTAATTATGTTTAGCTATTTACGTTTCAAAATACTACGTATTATATCCCTTGGCTTAGGCTAATTAAATTTAAGATTGCTTTTGTTAAGATTGCTTTTGGTAATTAAAACACAGTTCAACAGATGTTATATAGGCCTACACGAGATATCAGGTTGAACATTTATTTGTTGATCGACGTGTCTTTTCTGCAGACGTAACCGACATTAATTTATATTAATTAACCACCAACATAGACCTACGCATCTTATAGTCAGCTGACAAAGAAGACTGGGGCCAGGGTCAACTAGAGACCAGCCTTGACCTACTTATCTCTAAGATGGCAAGATAGCCTCGTACAGTGTACAGTCTCGCACCGGACGTGACGTCATTCCATCTCTCGCTGGACAAGCAGTTCCTATGGCGACAACTTTATAACCTCCTCATTGTAAACAAACCGTTGTTTCTTGGCCATAACATTAATGGCCTTCTCATTGTAAACAAACCGTTGTTTCTTGGCCATAACATTAATGGCCTTCTCATTGTAAACAAACCGTTGTTTCTTGGCCATAACATTAATGGCCTTCTCATTGTAAACAAACCGTTGTTTCTTGGCCATAACATTAATGGCCATCTAATTGTAAACAAACCGTTGTTTCTTGGCCATAACATTAATGGCCACCTAATTGTAAACAAAACATAATTTCTTGGTCATAACATTAATGGCCGCTTAATAGTAAAATAATATAACTTCTTGTCTTGGCTTAAATATTGTTTCTTAGTCACTAGTACTGGCCACTTAATAGTAAAATATAGTTTCTTGGCCACAATTCTTTATTGTAAAAAAAACCCAGTTTCTTGGCCACTTGAAATGGCCACCAATTAAAAAGACGAAATGTTGTCTCGGTCAGGTCACCCATTCATGTCAGTCAACTGTCTCATTGTTGTCAGCAGAGGCGTAGCGACCCTTCCCGGCGTCCGGGGACAAACTTTTCGATTTGCACACCCCCCACTCAAGATTTCGATTTCCACCCCCCCCCCATCAAACTTTCGATTTGCACTCCCTCTCAAGATTTCGATTTGCACCCCCCCTCAACCTGTCAATTTCTTTTTCCTACCCATTTTGGCACCCGGGGACATATGTCCCCCCCCCCCCCTGCTACGCTACTGGTTGTCAGTCAGCTGTGTTGGGCCACTCATACTTTTATTTACTAAACAGACAACTCAGGAACAAAACATGTACATTGGTTTGCGTAATGCTGCAGAGGACATGATTTGTTTTCATACACAGGATGGTAGCAACATCACAGGATGGTAGAAACATCACAGGATGGTAGAAACATCACAGGATGGTAGCAAAATCACATGATGGTAGCAAAATCACATGATGGTAGCAAAATCACAGGATGGTAGCACCATCACAGGATGGTAGCAAAATGACAGGATGGTAACAACATCACAGGATGGTAGTAACATCACAGGATGGTAGAAACATCTTAGAATGGTACACGCAAGACATCTCAGGATGGTAGCAACATCTCAGGATGGTAGTAACATCATGGCATGGTAGCAATATCACATGATGGTAGCAACATCTCAGGATGGTAGCAACATCACAGGATGGTAGCAACATCACGAGATGATAGCAACATCACATGATAGTAACAACATATGAAGTGACACAATCCAACTAGTGTTAAACATCGCACAAACATCCAATCACAACCACAATCACAAACACAGTTACATTGCGTATCTTTAGGTCATATACGTTGACATTTTTGTTAATGAATCGAGTTTAAAATTAACGTATAGATTTTTCAGGAAAAAAAGAAATGCTTATTTATCTTAGAGTCAAAGATAGGCGGAACAGTAAAACCTGTGCTTCCAAGAAACCCCTATACCACCTCGGACTAATAAGAATTTTAATTTGCTAAAAAGAAATGTGTACAGTGTATACAGTATACACTTTAACTATTACTTCAAGTACCATAACTCAGACCTTACAATAAGACTACACAATTTCGCCATTTAACTCCCTTGGCAGTTCGTATATCCAGTCCAAGGGAAGGAAATCACAACATAGATTACGTTTCAACAAGCAAAGGATAACATTTCTCTATCAGTTATCGATAACCATATGACGATCAGAAATAATGTCTCGTAAAAAACACAAATGTCCTTGCTGTTGTTTTTTTTCTGCTTATCTGTTGGGATTATTTTATTACGTTTAGTTGATCTATACAAAAGTGTATAAATTATGCTTAATATTTAAAATATTTAGATGCATGTTTATATCATGTTTAATAATAAGGTTCCTAGATTGGATTTTGCACGTCTATCCAAAAAAAAAAAAATATTGTATTTAATTGATGCTGTGTAAAATCTATCAAATATATTATTATTACTGATTTAAATGTTTAAAACAATTGAATTAATAAAAATAAAAATAAAAAAAAATCTACCCCCTCCTCTCTCCCCCTCTATCCACTTTACCCTCAGACATGATAACCCCACAATCCCTTTAACTGTTCCAACGACCCCACCACCCACCGCAACATCAATATCCAGAACTTATTTAAAGTTCTAAATCTTGTCTCTTTCCCCTCATCTTTCACACTGCAACCTTTTGAAAACTCAATGCGACCACTACAACACCCTTTCAACTAGTCAACTTAAGTTGTTTCCCTACATAGAAAATGCTTCACTGTCCCATTGACCCTCTCTGAAAAATTTCCTTTCCTCTCCCCACCCAGACTTCTGACACTTTCATTTGACCTTCACCCCTTTTACTGTAATCCTTTGCAGTTTTTTTATAATCATATACATGACATCTTGTAAATATTCATTATGTACATTTGCAAAACCTTTCGTTCTCATTTGGTGTTCAAAATTATGTTAAAAAATTTGATGTTGATGTACTTGTTTTAATTGCAAATAAAAGTATTATAAAAAAATATATATATTGTATTTAAATTTAAACAATTTAAAATCTAAGACGAAGAAAAATCTATTAAAAAACAATGCAAGAAATAATTAAAATAATATTATTTCTTCTAGTTTTGTGTATGTATTTGTTATTACTTGTAACGAATCTAGACAAGGTCTACCTAAAAACCCGAACAAAGTTGATTTGTTTTTGTCCTTCTCACACCCAACAGCTGTTTTAGCTTAAATCAAAACGTGCCTGGCTTAAAATCAGCGATAAGCTGACATAATTGTCTATTATCTTACTTGAAGAACTATAGTCCTTTTGTTATCGTAGTGATACCGATGAAGATAAAAGTTGTAAAACATTTGTAAATAAACCATTTATTCATGTTGCGGCCATCATTGGGCGTCTCCCACACCATGTTAGGATTTAGTTTGCTCTTGGGTAAGACACATAGATCTACTTAGTTTTTACTAACGTTTCAAGTATTTGCTCGCTTGTATGACTTTGGTCAGTCGACTTTTGTATCGGCCCAGATGGAACTAGTTGTACGAGATTCTACATTTTGCGTGTTCGCCAATTCTCCGCTGGGCACGGAAAAAAAATCCGGGCATCCGATTCCGACGTCTTGTGCTACCGATCAAGCCCAAGACACATAACAGATGAATTAGAGTTTATCTGTTTCCATGACATTCGAATGGCGGGGGTAGTGTGATCAGCACTATGCCCAGTCACATTTGTTTCCCTAGTCTGAGTCAAGGTACCCATAAAAGCAAGGTGGGCACAGATTTAAGCCCGGGATCCGAACTCGAGACTTTTAGGTTAGTAGTCGCAAGTTCTACCATCCGACTACCTTGTCCATAACCATCACATTGAGAAAAATTTAAATAGTTTCTGGAATTGTTTGATCACATTAATAAATTACTTCTTCTTCTTCTTCGTTCTTAATTTTTGTGTCGGAAGAGATCCCCTCCAACACAATTAAGTATACGTGTCAACTGGTTATGCGCCATTGGGGCCGTTGACTCCGATTCCAGTCTGCTTTTCTTTTTGGGTTTGCTTCCATAGCCTTTTTTGGAGTTGTCTCTCCTAGAAGAGTGGCTGTCCCTCGTGGGTTTTGTTGCTCCCAGCTAACGTATCATAGAGGTTGTTCTATTGTTGCAGGTGCTCTATTTGTGCTGACCCTCAGTGGACTGACCCCACACGTCTGGGGTCACCTGACCCCAGACGACCCCTTCACACCAGGACCGTACAGTGTAAGCAGTTACAAGGTGGATCCCCGGACAGACAAGTCCCCTCTTCAAACCACTGGTGAGTACAGCTATTGTATGAGGGTGTATAAAGGGATGAAGTAGGTGGGGCAAGAGGTGTGGGGTGAGGCAGTAGGTGGGGCAAGAGGTGTGGGGTGAGGCAGTAGGTGGAGTAGGAGGTGGGGCAAGAGGTGGGGGTATGTCAGGAGGTGGGGCAAGAGGTGGGGGTATGTCAGGAGGTGGGGCAGTAGGTGGAGTAGGAGGTGGGGCAAGAGGTGGGGGTATGTCAGGAGGTGGGGTAAGAGGTGGGGGTATGTCAGGAGGTGTGGCAAGAGGTGGGGGTATGTCAGGAGGTGGGGTAAGAGGTGGGGGTATGTCAGGAGGTGGGGTAAGAGGTGGGGGTATGTCAGGAGGTGTGGCAAGAGGTGGGGGTATGTCAGGAGGTGTGGCAAGAGGTGGGGTAGGAGGTGGGGCAAGAGGTGGGGGTATGTCAAGAGGTGTGGCAAGAGGTGGGGTAGGAGGTGGGGCAAGAGGTGGGGGTATGTCAAGAGGTGTGGCAAGAGGTGGGGTAGGAGGTGGGGCAAGAGGTGGGGGTATGTCAGGAGGTGTGGCAAGAGGTGGGGTAGGAGGTGTGGCAAGAGGTGGGGTAGGAGGTGGGGCAAGAGGTGGGGGTATGTCAGGAGGTGTGGCAAGAGGTGGGGTAGGAGGTGGGGCAAGAGGTGTGGGTATTTCAAGAGGTGGGGTAGGAGGTGGGGCAAAAGGTGGGATATGTCAGGAGGTGGGGCAAGAGGTGTGGTGTGGGTCAGTAGGTGGGGTGGTGGAGGTGGGGCAGACAGTGGGACAGTAGTAGGATTGAAGGTGGGTCAGGAGGTGGGGTAGGAGGTGAGGGGCAAGAGTTGAGGCGGACAGTCAGGTAATAATGGGGAAGTTGTGGGGCAGCAGTGGAGAGGTAGTTGAGTAGGAGGTGAGGAAGGGGGAGCTCCCCACAAACCCAGCTACTACCCACTAGACTGTACCTTAATGTACTGTACCTACATTTACTTACAATTTAATACCTTTATAAAACATTTGAGTACATACGTGTTCTTTATGCTTCGATATGACTGGAGAGAGAAATCTGCAGGCGTCTACACTTTAAAGCTACCCTATAATTTATACAGTGTTTACGATTCCACATCTTGTACTTTACCATCTGTAAGCTTTGATCTACCGACTTATACCACCGTGTATCTATACACCTTGACTGTTGCAGTATACACCCCAGTGGCCAAGGGTACGTATAACCCCATTGTGTTCGTGGGTGGGATGTATGGCTATGTGGGCTCGTCCTTCTACTCAGACCTGCTGACTGAAATAGCCACTCATGGCCAAATCGTGTATGGGATGGACGCTCTCCCGCTTGACCCCAAAGGTCAACTTGCATCTGGCAACGGTCCATGGAAGGATGGTGTACAGGGTAGAAGGACCAGCCTTTCTGCTAAATACGAGGAATACATGCAACAATTGCTGTGGGTAAGTACAACATTTCCAGATGTTTATTGAGGTATTTATCAATTTGTGACCACAAATTATCGTCTAGTTAAAAGAGTTGTATATTCTTTCTTTCATAAGCTATAGATTGTTCCATGCAGATACTTTTAAATACATATAGCTGCAGCCATTCATGTTTCTCTACCGCTAGCTGCAGCCATACATGTTTCTCTACCTCTAGCTGCAGCCAAATATGTTTCTGTACCTCTAGCTGCAGCTATACATGTTTCTCTAGCTCTAGCTGCAGCTATACATGTTTCTCTACCTCTTGCTGCAGCTATACATGTTTCTCTACCTCTAGCTGCAGCCAAATATGTTTCTGTACCTCTAGCTGCAGCTATACATGTTTCTCTAGCTCTAGCTGCAGCTATACATGTTTCTCTACCTCTTGCTGCAGCTATACATGTTTCTCTACCTCTAGCTGCAGCCATACATGTTTCTCTACCTCTAGCTGCAGCTATACATGTTTCTCTACCTCTAGCTGCAGCTATACATGTTTCTCTACCTCTAGCTGCAGCCATACATGTTTCTCTACCTCTAGCTGCAGCCATACATGTTTCTCTACCGCTAGCTGCAGCCATACATGTTTCTCTACCTCTAGCTGCAGCCAAATATGTTTCTGTACCTCTAGCTGCAGCTATACATGTTTCTCTAGCTCTAGCTGCAGCTATACATGTTTCTCTACCTCTTGCTGCAGCTATACATGTTTCTCTACCTCTAGCTGCAGCCATACATGTTTCTCTACCTCTAGCTGCAGCTATACATGTTTCTCTACCTCTAGCTGCAGCTATACATGTTTCTCTACCTCTAGCTGCAGCTATACATGTTTCTCTACCTCTAGCTGCAGCTATACATGTTTCTCTACCTCTAGCTGCAGCTATACATGTTTCTCTACCTCTAGCTGCAGCTATACATGTTTCTCTACCTCTAGCTGCAGCTATACATGTTTCTCTACCTCTAGCTGCAGCAACATGCAAGCAACAGGACCAGTGCCGTCCCCGACTGGTCACAGATGTCCCTGATGTGTCATTCGGCCGGATGTGACGACACACTTCTCATGATCAACGCCAGCCGGTCTTTGTTTAAGGTGAGTCCAGTCGGTCTTTGATCATAGCCGGTCATAAGGTTTCGCCGGTCTTTGATCATAACCGGTGTTTGAACTCAGCCGGTCATAAGGATTTGGCGGTTTATGAGTCTGGCCGGTTAGTTACATCGTTACTTAAGTTCGGTATTTACGATCAACCTAGGCGGTCTATTTTAGGGTTACATTTTCATCTATCTGTTAACTATAACGTTGTATCAAACACGTTTGTACCGATCACGTTTTCATCTCTACACCAGGCCTCCGTCTATTTGGATCCCGTCAGCCCACACGCACTCTTGATGCAGCCGTTCCCGTCCAAGGTCGCGACCTTGACCTACATGGCTCAGCTGTCGGAGGAGAAGCCCGACTGCTGCATCCCGGGCATGGGCTGGAAGAAGATCTATGACCTCATGACCTGTGTCAAGGTCAGGATGGAGGTCAAAGACTTCGGTCACTGTGACGTGCTGGACCACTTACCCTGGGAAGGTGAGGTTTTGTAGGAATCAGAAATGTTTGAGGTTTTGTAGGAATCAGAAATGTTTGAGGTTTTGTAGGAATCAGAAATGTTTGAGGTTTTGTAAGAATCAGAAATGTTTGAGGTTTTGTAAGAATCAGAAATGTTTGAGGTTTTGTGAGAATCAGAAATGTTTTTTTCTTGATGATGTTTTGGTCCTTTAACACACGATACAAGTTGTCAAATTGCGGGGGCGAGTAGGCTTGGTAGTAGTGACTTGTAGAGATTATATCTTGTTTTTGTTTACTTTTTATTTTTATTTTAATGTTAATCACTAGTTAATGGTTATTAAGTAGGATTACATGGCGCATTTTTCGTATTGCAAAATGAGAAGTGGATGAATGTTATTTTTAACCGTAGGATTCTATTGAAGGTGTTTCTTAACTCCATAAAGGTGTTCCTTAAACATATGTCCTTACAATTATGTTGTTTAAATAATTTACCTTCTTACCAGGTTGCCATTTAAATATTTATCTTCTCTCCCTACCAGGTTGTCATCTAAATATTTTATCTTCTCTACCTACCAGGTTGCCATTTGTCCAAGATTTGTAAGACAACCAACGACACCAGACTAGCAGACTACAGACACCAGACATCAGGTGTTGTGACGTCATTCATACAGTGGACCGTCCTGGGCAACAAGGACATGGCTCGTTACGTCACCAACCCCTCAGCCATGCCACTTCCGTTGGTAGACCTGGCTTTCAACACCACCTGTGTGTTTTAGTCGCCTGCTCTAAAGATTTTTTTCAATGATATTATTGAGCTCTGACGCACTCTGTGTGTATTGTCTGAATGACCGAGGATTTTGCGTTAAATGAAGACCAGTGTTTCTTCCATACTTTTTTCTCCAGGTAGGGGGGGGGGGGACTTGAAATTTTCGGGGGGGGGGGGGCGGTAGACTATCTTAGGGGGGGGGGCGGACACTATTAAATGTATATATTTTCTATATAAATTCCATTTCGTTCGGAGAGGGGGGGGGGGCGGTAGACTTTTTTCCTGGAAGAAACTCTGATGATGACTGTTTGACCGATGACTGTTAGCTGGTTGTGGGGTGTACAATCACAAAGAGGTTAGGACATTTCTGTATCAAATTCTGAAGACCCCTAAGTGTCAGCAACAACCCACCCCTACCACCATAATTTCAAGTTATGTTCTAAAATGTAATTAAAAATGTAAATATTTCGTCAAATTTTTTTTTTTGATTTATCACGAAAGCAACATTTAAGAAACGACTAAAATTAAAGCTTATTAAGTAGACCTGAAATGGCGGGGACCTAAGACCGACGACTCTACAACTCAATGTGTATGTAGGTACGACTGTAACCCGTATGAGTTTCTGTACTGGTTATAACATGGGGGTTGTACATGTGTTTGGCTTTTTTTTTATACAGAGCAGGTAGCCGTTAATAGTTACTGAATCAGGTTATAATTGCTTTTGTATTAATTAAATAAATCAAACTAGTGATAAAGTTAATTGAGATTAAGTTTGTTGATTTTGTTATATTAATTAGCAATAATTAACAACTTGGTCCATCACTTCTTCCCTGTTTGATATATGCAGCGTGTGCCCAAACCAGATACGTGTAATAAAAGTAAAGTTCCCTAATCGAACCTGAAGGTCCATAGAGCAGTAGAAGTAGAGCTGACCTGTTTTTGTAACTTCGGCATATGAAACATGTAGATTATATAACTTAAGTCATGTAGATTATACGACTTAAATCATGTAGATTATATAACTTCATGTAGATTATACAACTTAAGTCATGTAGATTATACAACTTAAGTCATGTAGATTATATAACTTAAGTCATGTAGATTGTACATCTAAAGTCATGTAGATTATACAACTTAAGTCATGTAGATTATACATCTAAAGTCATGTAGATTATACAACTTAAGTCAAACGATTGATAGTATTGCAGTATGACGCAAAATTTCAGAGTTGCGACCCGTTTTATATACATAATAATGAAAATATATCGAAGGGAGGTAATTATAACTAGCTTTTTACGTTTCAAAATCTTAGATTAGTTCCCTTTGTTTAGAAGCCTTGAGATAAAAAATTGCATGTTATTTTGTTACATAGCCGAGCTATAAATTAAATCAAATTTTCTACTTTTTTTTTGTTCTCTCTCAGCCCTTGTGAATGTGTATGTGATGTATTTTGAAATGGTGAAACTGTTAGGGTGACTTATTTTTTGTCGAAAATATTTTGATTGGTTGTTCAATTAATTTTTAAAGCACGCCCATTTAATTCATATTTCTGGGACTGTGTACCCACCTTCGAAATAAAACAAACATTGGAAATATTTATGCTGAGTGGTAGTAGCTGTGGTTTTTAATTTTAATTCCGTCTGCGTTACCAGACTCATTGTCTGCCATATGTATTAAAATATTTAAAAAATACAACTGAAAAACGATGTGTTAAATATCAGGAAACAAATGCTGTTTGTTTTGGCCAGTTTTAAGCTGTCAAAGTAGAGCAAGTCAATAAGTGGTGACTAAGTTAGTCAGTGGTGACTAAGTCAATCAGTGTCGACTAACTTAATCAGTGGTGACTAAGTCAATCAGTGATCGAGTCAATCAGTGGTGGGACTAAGGCAATCAGTGTCGACTAAGTTAATCAGTGTCGACTAAGTTAATCAGTGGTGACTAAGTTAATCAGTGGTGACTACGTTAATCAGTGGTGACTAAGTCAATCAGTGGGGACTAAGTCAATCCGTGATCGAGTCAATCAGTGGTGACTAAGTCAATCAGTGGTGACTAAGTTAATCAGTGATCGAATCAATCAGTGTCGACCGATGGTTGTTATGGTGACTCGCGTGACGGGCGTGAAGTATTCCTCCAGCTCCTGGGGCGAGTCGGTCTCGTTCCTACTCGCTCCCTTGCCTTGATGCTCACCATCTAGATCAAAAGTATGGGATACATTCATCACTTCCGGTTTCATTTAACAGCAACATCGTGATTACATTTATTCCGGTAAACGTACAACAATAGGGCTGGTAAGTAGGTCACCAACCAGTTCTATGGCTCATGCAAGTTGTATTGAGCCGTAGAACTGGTTGGTGACCTATTTACCAGCTCTATTATAAAGTTAAGATATTAATTAGCAAAGTCATGATTAGATCGTTAGAGTGACGTGTAAAACATCAACAACAAAACAATTCTACACGCTGCAAACATGATCTTACCGTTTTGGTCAAACGCATTTCCTGATAATCCCGTTCTGTTTTGAATTCTGCCGTCTGCTGACCGGTGTTCTGTGGCTGTAGACTGGACAGTGTCCAACGTGGTGCCAGCCGAATGGCCACTCAGTCTGAACAAACCTCGCACTCTGGAATAAACATCGTACGAATCTTGCCTGTTCAGGTGTGTCGCCTCCCCTTCGGTGTGGGGCTTGAGCAGACGATGATCCCGCAGCAGACGTCGTGTCGTCTGCGAAAGGTTCCACGTGTTTCTGGAGAAGGGGTCTCTCAGACTGCGGGCTGGAACACCAGACGATCCCGCGCTGGGAACACTGGAACTGTTTTGGTGTGGAGAGTTGGGGGATTTGTCTTTATGCGTAAGAGTACCGTAGGATACGTCATCGTGTTCGTTACTATATGTGACGTCATTATATACGTCACCATGCGTTAAGTCATCACGCAATGACTTATGGGAAACAAGGGAATATTTCGCCGAATGCCCGTATGAAGAGTTTGGTGGTACAGGCGGGGGGTTCGTCTCAAGGGCTTTGTGTAAAGATAAATAATTGTTTTTGTTATTGAACCTACCGCCGGGAACTGAAGCGCCGCCTATGTACGAGAAACTGTTCCGGTGGAACAAATATGGCGTGACGCCCTTGACGTCCAGGTGAAAAACTTCCGGTGGCACGCGATGGAAGAACGGTTTCCTCCCCTGCAGGTCGGACTTGGGAGGTTTGAAGGCGTTCCATGCAGCCATGTTGGAGACGATGGGCGGGAGGGTGAAGGGGGAGGAGTTAGATGACGTGTCCGGGCCGGCAGACAGACACGTGACGTCATTGTTCTGACTGGAGGTGTTTCTGGGGGATTTCCCGACCAGGACGTAGTCGCTGGTGTCTGGGAGGTTCGAATCCTCGCTGTGACGGACGTGCTGTCTGGCTCGCTTGAGCACCAAGATGGCGGACTTGTACGAGCCTTGGGTGCTGTCTGTCGTCTGCTGGGGAGTTTTCTTGTTCGCGCTGGTCACTTCGGACACACTACAGGAGGAAACAAAACAGGTGAGCTACAGGACACAAGATTAAAGACAGCTGGACATGACGGTGACCACACACTACAGGAGGAAACAAAACAGGTGAGCTACAGGACACAAGATTAAAGACAGCTGGACATAAGGTGACCACACACTACAGGAGGAAACAAAGCAGGTGAGCTACAGGACACAAGATTAAAGACAGCTGGACATGACGGTGACCACACACAGACATGGGCTATAAAATAAATAAGTACACATACTGCTACTATTCTGACTAACTTGACGTATGAAGAACATGACCTGACGATTCCGTCCTATTTTTGTCATAGCCGCATAAAGAATATAAGCAATAACCTGCTTTAAATCACGAGTTATAGTTATTTTATTATCAGGCTCTCCAAAGAACGGCGTGGCCTAGAGGTAGAGCGTTAGACTGATAAACCCGAAAGTCTCGAGTTGGAATCCGGGTTTAAGCAAAGTCAGTATAAATCCATTACACCATCCGGTTCTGATGGGTATCTAACTCACATTAGGGAAAGTAAATGCGGCTGGGCATAGTGCTGACCACACCTTCCCTTCATATGCCGAACTCTACTTCATCAGCCCAATTGATCGCAAAGTCTGAAGAGTTTTCTTTACTTTAGTTTTTTCCTCACCTGCTCTCCTTGCTCGAGGCAGTGGATGGTTTAGATGTGGCTGTGGTGATTGGAGGGAGGGTGTCAGATGACTTTCTGGAGTTGGGCGAACTCTGGAGATCTGTGGAATCTTTGGGGAACACGATGCTGACTTTACCAGCGTCAATCCCGTCCTTCAGGATGTGGTAGGTGGCTGTTGTGGACATAAGGTATGGGGTCAGGGGTCACAAGCCATAGGGTTGGGGGTCAGTGGACATAAGGCATAAGGTCAGGGGTCACCAGACATGGGGTAGGGTACAATCAGTGGACTTAGGCACGTACAGGTTAAAATCAGACATGGAGGCTTAGAAGAGAGAGAGAGAGAGAGAGAGTTATTGATGTCATTTTATATGGGTTTGTGGTGAATAGATTTTTAGTTGTGTGAGTAAGTGTGCCATCAAACAATAAAAAAAAAATGTACAGTTACCTGCCGCAGAGGTGAGTTTCCGGTCTAAGACAGACGTGATGACATCAGCCTCGTTAAACCGGTACTTGCCGCACATGTACCTGACGATGGTGCGGTTAACCACATTGTCGTGTAGCCTCTTCGGGACCACCGGCACGCGCTTGATGGCCCGACCCTCGGGGCCCAGCAGCCAGACGTGAGTCAGCATCTCCTCGGCCGTGATTCGTCGGCTCTCCGTGATCTCCAACATCCGGGTAATCAGGTCCTGACACGCTGGGGGGGGGGGGAGTTGTTGTATGTAAATACAGGACAATTTACAGGACAATTTACAGGCAGTTTACAGGACAATTTACAGCACAATTTACAGGACAATTTACAGGACAATTTACAGGACAATTTACAGAACAATTTACAAGACGATTTACAGGACAGTTTACAGGACAATTTTGTGGCAATTATCGTAACAATTTAGTTGACACTTTTTTTTACATGACCATCTACAGGACAATTTACATGACAATTTACACGATGATTTACTTGACCATTTACAAGTGCAATTATAGGACTTCTTCTTCTTCTTCTTCTTCGTTCTTAATTATTAGTGTTGAAGGGGATCGAGATTTATCTGCCAGTGGGTTTGAACTCGAGACTTTTGTTCGAATTTATCAACCATGAACTTTTTGCCGACTCGACCACGCCTCCAACACAATTAAGCGTTACGTGTCAACTGGTTATGCGCCATTGAGGCCATTGACTCCGATTTCAGCCTGCTTTTCTTTTTGGATTTGCTTCCATAGCCTTTGTCCAACCAAGAACAAACTACAAGGCAGCAGTGGTTTGATTTTGGAGTTGTCTCTCCTAGAAGAGTGGCTGTCCCCAGCTAACGAGCCTCATCTGCCCGATGGTTCGAACTCGAGACTTTACGGTTTTAAGCAACCAAGAGCTTTACCGACTCGACCACGCCGCCCCCTTAATTATAGGACAATAATGTACAATTTCCAGTGTGTGACCTCGTTATAATGCTATTGTAAAGCACGCAGACATTGTGGATGAGAGTTTAGAACAAAGCTAGAGACACTGGACATTAGGAATATAAATTAATTAGGAATAAATATTTAGGTGTGTAAGCTAGTTTAGTTGGTAATGAGGTTTTCTTTGCGTCATACTAGAATTGAACACTGTAGCTTCTAATTAACTAAGCTTCACCAAGATTCATTAAAAAAACTATGACACGGTCTACGCAGACGTGGCTTAATACTTTACACAACATTCTAGATATATTAAGAGGTTAGACTTAACGTATAAGTATACCCACGTGCAGACAGGTGTCCGGGTACGACACACCCCTTAAGTATGAGTGAGTACAGCTGGGGTAGGGACGACTCATCCTCAGGTAAAAACGGAAGTCTGCCAGTTAACATGGCGAAGTAGCAGACGCCTCTGAAATAACGATACAATTCACTGCAATATATAATTTACAAGAGTCCATAAATTTAAACTATCTAAATGTTTGGATCAGCTCTCAATCCCCACGGGACTTACAGACTCCACTATTCAGTCTTGCCGCACTCCTGCCTGAAAACAGCATCCCCCACCCCACTCCACTCCACTCCACTCCACTCCACTCCACTTCACCCTTACCCCTGTAAAACACGGATTTACAAACTCCATATATCCACAGGCTGTCCATCCCACATGTCTCCCCCACTACCACCCCCCCCCCCCCCCGTACAACCTACACCCCGTACTTACAAACTCCAGATATCCACAGCTTTGCCATACTTCCTGCCTGAAAACAGCCCCCCCCCTCCTCCTCCACTCCACTCACCCCCCCTGTATCCTACACCACGGACTTACAAACTCCAGATATCCACAGACCCCGTCCCCCACTATACCCCCCCCCTATACCTTACACCAGGGACTTACAAACTCCAGATATCCACAGCTTTCCCGTACTTCCTGCCTGCGAACAGCTCAGGCGCCGAATAGACAGGGCTGCCACATTGGCTGCTGAGGTGGTGATCGGAGTCGTGGCACACGGCACTCAGGCCAAAATCTGGGGATATAGAACATTTTGACAGCCCACTAACAACCCACTGGCAACACACTGACAATCCACTGGCAACACTCGATAACAACCCGTTAGCAACCTACTGGCAACCCTCTTTAACAACCTACTGGCAACCCTCTTTGACAGTCCACCTACAACCCACTGGCAACACACTGAAAATCACTGGCAACACACTGACAACACACTGGCAACCCTCTTTAACAACCCAATGGCAACACACTGAAAACCCACTGGCAACCCTCTCTGACAACCCACTTTGTCAACCTGAGCACTACATAGTACACTAAGCTCCCCGTCCTCATACACATTAAAATATAAGACACTCACCAACTATCTTAATGTTGTTTTCGTCATCCAGTAAAAAGTTATCCAACTTGATGTCTCTAAAACACAGAAAAAAGCTTGTTTCATTAAATTTGTCCTACAGTCAAATGTCATCTAACTTGATATCGCTAAAACATAGAAGTAAAACATGTATTAAAATTTTCGCCATCCCATAGAAAGTTGATTAATTTAATATCTCTACAACATATACAAGTTATCTATCTTGTCATTTCTAAAGCAATAGAATACAACTTGTATACAATTTTTAAACTACTATGTAACCTACAAGACCATAAGCAGTTTCAATGCAAAATAGATTGGATAAAATGTATTGGGGCAGGTGTGAGCATGAGTGGTTTACACTAAAGTGGTATCTAGTTGTGTGGAATGTGATTGGCGATTCACCATAGCACCACAACATGACCTACCTGTGAATGATGAAAGGACCACCACAACATGACCTACCTGTGAACGATGAAAGTACCACCACAACATGACCTACCTGTGAACGATGAAAGGACCACCACAACATGACCTACCTGTGAACGATGGTAGCACCACCACAACATGACCTACCTGTGAACGATGGTAGCACCACCACAACATGACCTACCTGTGAACGATGCAAGGACCACCACAACATGACCTACCTGTGAACGATGGTAGGACCACCACAACATGACCTACCTGTGAACGATGGATGATAAGACCACCACAACATGACCTACCTGTGAACGATGGGTGGCAGGACAACCACAACATGACCTACCTGTGAACGATGGGTGAAAGGACCACCGCAACATGACCTACCTGTGAACGATGGATGATAAGACCATCACAACATGACCTACCTGTGAACGATGAAAAGACCACCACAACATGACCTACCTATGAACGATGGATGATAGGACCACTAGAACATGACCTACCTGTGAACGATAGAAAGGACCACCACAACATGACCTACCTGTGAACGATGCCTGACCTGTGCAGGTGGTCAAGTGCAGACACGATCTGCCTCATGTACTCTCGTGTCTCTGTCTCAGAAAACTGGCCACTAAAAAAATGTATAATGTGAAAATGTGCATTAAAGATCAGTTTAAAATAAAATGTATAGACGACAAGAAAGATAATAGAGAGAACATCGGGGAACAATTAAGGTACAGAACTTGACGGGTTAGCGAAGTTAATTTACAAGCGGACTTGAACTTAATTCACTGAACTATAGGAAGACTTGCTCCCATTTTTTCCGATCTTATTCTCCCGACATCATACATTCATATTGACCTTGACCATTTAAACCATGACCTACCCAAGCTGAGCCAGCTGACCTTGATCAACTCACCATTAAGACCTTGACATACTTATCATTTAGACCGTGACCTACTCATCATTAAAACCTTGACCTACTCACCATTATGACCTTGACCTACTCACCATTTACACCTTGACATACTAACCATTTAAACCTTGACATACTTACAATTTAGACCTTGACATACTCACCATTTAGACCTTGACATACTCACCATTTAGACCTTGACATACTCACCATTTAAACCTTAACATACTTACAATTTAGACCTTGACCTACTTACCATTTATAACTTGACCTACTCACCATTTAGACCTTGACCTACTTACCATTTATACCTTGACCTATTTACCATTTATACCTTGACCTACTAATAGTTAAGATCTTGACCTACTCACCATTTAGACAGCTGGGCCAGTAGACTGGGGCCAGACGCCAGCTGAAAGACCAGGTAATAAGAGTTGGAGGTCTCCATTGCCTCGTACAGCCTCACGACGTGCGGGTGATGCACGTGTTGCAGGAGCAGGGCCTCGCGCCGGAAGTGACGTCGTGCCATCTCGCGCTGGACTAGAAGTTTTTTGGCCACAACTTTTATGGCCACCTAATGGTATACAAAAACATTGATGATTGACTACAACTTTTATTCAAAACCGATGAAGTTATACAATCCAACAAGCAATAAATACCAATCTACCATTGAACTACAATCCCAGTTATGGGCGTGATTACAATGCGACTTTGTATGTCAATGCGTTCTCATTCTGGTTAATGAAATAACTTGTATAAGCCTAACATTTAAATTAAATTTGGGTAGGCCTGGTAAAACCTGCATTTCCAGTGTTTCAGACATCTACCCAGAGGGGGAGGGGATGTATGGGGGGGGGGGGGGGGGGTTAGGGCAGCGCTCCTCTCTCACGGATGATATAGAAAAATAAAGCTTTAAAAGCCCCCCCCCCCCCCCCCCGGCCCCCTCATAACCCCGGAACAAGCGGTTAAAAACTAACCCTGACCACCCCTATCACGTCCCCCAGCTCTAATGAAAACGCTTTCATAGGCCAGCCAAACAATCATATACACAAATATTCAACAGTAAAAATAGCATTCTCGAGTTAAAATTATTTGTATAGCGCACTTTGATTCAAGTACTGCAACTCGTACCTTACAATAAGCCTAAATAATTACAGCATTTAAGTCCCCTGGCAGTTCGCTGCTAACGAGACCAAGGGGAGAAAATCAAAACAAAGCGATCGGGTGATAATATTTCTCTATCAGTCATAACGTGATTGCTGTGTAAACACGGGGATCGATCGTTATCGATAACAATGTGATCGATCAGAGTTAATAGCTAGTAATTGATATTAAAACAGCTGTTATTGTTGCTGCCATTAGTAGTGTCGTTGTTATTTTAGTTCTGCTGCTAAGTTTACAATAACAGGTCCAGTCGTTATTTTGTTTTTAGACCCCTCTTAGTTGTAAGCTGGGTGGGTTTAGATGTATATCTATATAAGGGTTATATAACTATGTTTTTAACCTTATTATATAAAAATATCAGATGATGCTTAGTATGCAATCTAGGCCTATGTATGTTTATATTATGCTTTTTAATTTAGCTGTCATATTATTTTTATGTCTTTATTATATATCAATTTAGACGATTTTAAAATAAACACAATTCGTTTCAATTTAAGTTGAAGATTTCCTTTGTTGTATTTTCTTTCATTTTTCTTATCTAATGTTTACTTGTAACAAATCAGATTAAGCTCTTAAATCCTGGACTAAATCTCTAGAAATGTGTAAGTGCCTTTTGATATCCCTTACCTGCTGTTATAGTGCTAAATAACTTGTAAAGAAATGTTATTTTTATTTCTTCAATAGCCACATAAAACTACTAAATGTCCCCTATACATTCCAATAAAAAATACAACTACTTAAAAGTGATTTACAAGATTATGTACATAGACGTTTAACTAAATACTAAACGCGATTTATTATCCTAGAGAAGAAAGCTTAACAAGATAACAAACTTGGACAGTTATTGTCTCTACATTCAATGCGGCTATAACATTTCCTTTCAGCACTAAATAAAAGACGGATCAACAATGACAAAAATAGGTTGAGAGTATAACAATAGAGACGTCAAAGGGTTAATAATTAACAGGATTTTCTTTTCATTTTAAAGTCATATGACAAGTTGTCATACTTCTTGGGTTTTAAAGCCGTCAGATAGCTTCATACTTCTTATATTAAAATATACTTGATGTGTTTAATAGATATACAACAAGATATACTTATTATGTTTTAGAGATGCCCAACAACATATACTTGTTGTGTTTTAGAGACATACAACAAAATATACTTATTGTGTTTTAGAGACATACAACAAAATATACTTGTTGTTTTAGAGATGTCCAACAACATATACTTCATCTACCCTAAGTTTAAACATGACAGCTACACGTTGTAAACAGAAAGACGCCGATGACGTCACGTACCTGTTGTTTTGATATCAGGTGAGTGGCCAGCCGTATTTTACCGTAGGAGCCTTCACCTATGGACTGGGCCAGCAGGTAGTGCCCGACCTTCTTGCACTTGGCTCCTGGGTCTGGTGAGGTCGAGGTCGTCAGCTCGTCGTTTCTTGACCCCACGGGTCCTGCTGGTGCGTCATCCACAGGTTGCGTCATCTCACCTGTAAGGAAGGAGTCGACATCACACAGGTGTTGATGTATTCAGGTTGACACGGTGTTGTATTTAGATCAGAGAAAATATCTCAGACAAAATATCTTAGACAAAATATCTTTCGGACAAATGATCTCAGGACAAATGATCTCACGGACAAAAGATACCAGGACAAAATATATCAGGACAAATGATACCATATTGTATGACCCGCCCTTCTGCTCCGATTTGTGTACTTATTTTTACCATTACAGAGCTGTGTTATGATAAATCATACAAACTGAAGTCCAGGTAAAGCCTTCACTCACCAGACATTGTTAGCTGATGATCACATGACTCTCTTGGCCAATCATTTTTCTTTGAAGTATTATCAGCTGATCCTAGGTTTTGTGTCGTCTCCTCATCCATTTCCTGCTGGGTACGTATCCATGGCTGTGTTGACTCAACTAGCTGAACGTCTTACGTCATATCTATACAGATATTGCTGTGTGTATTATATATATATATATATATATATATATATATATATATATATATATATATATATATATATATATATATATATATATATATATATATATATATATATATATATATATATATATATATATATTTATATATATATATATATATATATATATATATATATATATATATATATATATCAATGAAACTATATAGTGTATTAATTATTATCTTTTATATCTCTCCACAATTTGTTTACTCTATAAAGTCCACCAGCCAGCCGTATAATAAGTGATTAGAGACCATAACATAGAAATATGGTCAAATCATTTATGGCCTTATAATACGTTTTAAAGTACAAGTATAATTTTACACTTCCCATATAATGAGTTTAAAAATTGTCACGATAGTTAACTTTGTTGCTACCTGTATAGAAAAATCACAATCAGTAGTGTAAGCAGATATTTTAGTAGGCGAGACTACATCGTCCATTCAAGTTTCATTTAGCATAACGGATTAGAGTATTTGTAAATTTTCGCTACGGTTATGCTAAACATTACTAGAAATACTCTCAAACGCGACCCTCAAACAGATAAATTAATCTACAAAGTCAATTATTGACTAAATAGCTTGCAGTTCCTAGATACACCAAGCACCAAACATCAAACAGCTTACAGCAACAGCAAACAGCGTACATCTGTCACTGACAGCAAACAGCCTGTATCCTACCGTTGAATTTCTCTGCCAGATTTTTGTCGCCATAGTTCAAGTGTCACGGTGACATTTGACCCCCCCCCCCCCAGATCTATCAGTCTGGTCTATTGAAACGTCGAATCAATGACTGGTCTATTCACTGGGTTTCTATTTAACGGTCGGTCTATTCATTGGCTGCACCCCCACTCTACCCCCCGGGCACTTGAGCTATTTATGTCTGTGTTTGTCTGTGGTTTCTAAGTGAGCATTAAGGGATAATCCCTGCACTAGACCCTGCGGGATAGGATGAAACAGTAATTCATTCCTAGAATGTCTAATTCTGTAACGACACAATACACTATTCCTAGAATGTCCAATTTCGTAATTGCAGACTTAACTATTCCTAAACTGAATAATAATTAAATAATAACATGAAAGCAGTTTTTTTTTTAAATTTATATCAGAACATACAAAGGTTGAAACTAAAAGTTATGACATTTTACCCACTTCTTGTCGTATACAATTTTGTAAAAGATTTCCGAAGACCATTACCTCCCATATTATAAAAACATTACACAAAGGTTAACTACTCCCAAACACTCTACCGTATAACATTTTCACTATCCTTAAGCTCAACTAGATTCTAAAAAAACCATTCCATCACGTTAAGATAGTTGCGGCTTCTTGGTGTGGGTACGGTAGTTGAACAGACCACATCGGTGGCGCAGTCTAGGGTTTAAATGATTTAATTGCACGTGGATAATAATAATACATTTATTCAATAACAGTAATAACAGTATTATAAGCCTTTAAAAAAAACAACCTAATAGCAATATTTTTAATACAAAATAGTAATCAAACATAGCAGTAATGTAGCATTTAAAAAACGGAATGAAGAAATAATATTACATAGTTATAATACACAATGCAACAGAATAAGAATGCAAATTCTGGCTTTAATTTTAATTATTATGTACAATGTTTGTACAACATAAATCAGTTTACAAGTAACTTGACTTGTTTAAAATAATACGGCTCTGCCTTATATCACGGTATAGCTTGTAAGTTGCAAACTTTATAGTGGAAAAAATGCCAAGATACTACTTACCTGTTTTTGTTAGCAAATTTCAAATTACCGATGCCTTGATGGTTCAAAGAACTTCACACCACAGATGATACTATACGATCACCACATCAATCAACACGACAAACTTTTCCAGCTACCCTAATCGAACACTGGGTTTGTTCCTCCACGTTTGAACTACGTAGATCCTAACAAGTGAAAAAAAAATAATCCCCCAATCTTTATTCAGACGTCTGGAACATTTTTATACTGTCACAGGCTAATCGATATTATCGATTTGATCGTATTAAACTTTTTACACCCTATCACGCACAAATCGAAGCGAAAAGCTTCAAGCGTTCACTTCACTATCTAACTAGGGGAGGGCATTCTAGTTTCAAGGGAAAGAAAAGCTTCAAGTATGCACGCCACATTAGAAATTGAGGGTTGGAACAAATAGAAAAATATTCGAGTCACAGTGGGAGTGTATTATATAAATAGGGCTGGTATAGGATTTAAAGATTATAGGATTAATATACACATGTCTAAATAGAAAAAAAAATTGCGCAGTAATTTAAAAATGTTATCAATAGTCTGAGCTGGTAAAGAAACTATTAGGTAAAGAAACATAAAACATACTCATTAATTTTATAATTGTTGTTTTCTAATTTCACACTTCGATTATAAGCCCGGAATAAATGAGTCAACAATAGAATCTCCAGCCGCTGTAAACTATACTTAAATTCCAATAGTCGTATTCTTATATTGATTAGAATTTATAAAAACCTATCCCAAAGATGCAATAAAGGGAATTAATCAACACACGAGTCACCCACCCAGCTTTGAGACCGGTCCTCATTTTTCAGTCGGTTTCTTAGATCTAAAGCTAAGCCAGATTGTAAAAATATCTGGCCACTCTACCTTAACGCTTTATCCCCCCCCCCCCCCAAATCCCCCAATAACGAAATAAAAAAAATTAATCTCGCTTTAATGAAAACTAAAGGCAAAAAAAGTAATGGCCGTTGAACCAGCTGTATTTGATTACATATGCAGTAATCATGATAGATCACCAGGCACGGATAATTACATCTGTGTAATTCCCTGCTTACCACACATGAGTTATTCCCCCTTGAGAACGTTTGCCAGCCAATCACATAAGCGGGACCAGTGTATTAAGGCGAGTCGCTAGCCACGTCATGGTTGGCTTTCTTCACGCGCTCAGCTCATTACTTATGCAGATTTGTTATTAAAAAACTATACGTCCCCGTCACGCTATGCCTAAATTATGGTTGCCAGGACATTTTAAAGGCTAAACAACGGTAAACAGAGTTGCCAAAATGCATTTTAGTTGCCGAATAAGTAAAATATTTATACTTCGTTGAAAACCCCACTTTTTAGCAGCTATAGAAATATATCTTTGGAGGTTTTTTTTAAAGTTATAAAGTTTTGGAATAAGCCTATTTCTAATTAATATTTTTTAAGATTCAATACTGTCATTATTTATACATAATGCAGTATTGAAACTGAAACAAAAGAATACAAGAACACTGAAAACCTTATCATTTGTTATGATAATCTCGTTTTGTCGTATAAAATGTTTGGTCAACAGCGCATAAAACGTACTTTTTCGTTTTGTTTTAAAACCTTAAGCTTTTATTATAAGCTTTTATAATACACTCTTATTTCGATCACATCTGCATGTTATTTTTTAAGCATTTTGTTTGTCGGGTGGTCAAATCTTGTAACTTGATTTCAACCCACTTCTAAAGTAGAAATTGAGTTCAAGCTTTCTAGATACATTAGTGCCCGATGACAACCCAAGAATATGTAATTTTTAATTTTAGTTTGACATAAGAATATTCATTGAAATTTAATTTAAAAAATGACTAAATTCGATAAAAAAGGGGAGATAACAAGATTAAATCAATCACTTTATCAGCAGACCGTCGACGGTGAACTGTATTTTTACGGTCTAATGATTTTTGTCTTAGCGTTGACGAAATAATGATTGTCTTTGGCAGATCGCAAGCTATTGATCGGGTTTTAACGCAAATATTTTTCTTCGTAGCCTATGTGGTCTCAAATTCTAGTAGAACATGGGAAATAAAAAGTGGAAAATAAACCAAATATAAAAAAAACCTTTATAATAATAAGCTTTGAATGCGCTGAAAAAAAATATAAAATAAACGAGCCGACCCGCGGCGTATCATACGCCGCTATTTAGTTGTTGTTTTTTCTACTTTTCAGTAATTCATAATTTGTGAATTCGACAGTACCAATGCTGCCACTGAAAATATTTGCTTTAAAACACTAAACCGACCTTTCATTAAAGCGACCTTTTTATTACCTTTGTAATAAAAAGCTTTGAATAAGCTGAATAAGATAAAATGAAACAAACTTGCTTTCTTCAATAAAAGCTGGTCGCTCATGAGATTTGTCAGAGGCGTAGCGAGGTAGTGGTGGGGGGCGCGGACCCCAACAGGGGGGGGGGGGGGGGGAGGAGGAGACATCAAGGCAAAAAAATTGCCAAATTTTCAGAAGAAAAATGCTTTTTTGCCTGTCCCATTAATAATTTTAAATATCAATTTAGTAATTTATATAAATTAATTACTATGTATAAGAAAACAATTAAAAGTGACATATTAATTTATTATCAATTACATACACGTTATAAGTAGGCATCGAAATCAAATTTTACTTGCCTCTTTCGTCACAAAAGTTTGTACTAATTCCTCCATTTCCAGTTTGCAGGCGTAATTACATTTTATTGCAATTGTTGCTAAGTCCACGAGTCTACTTTGTACTTCACGACATAGCCCCCCCCCCCCCCCCCGTAGAAATTTTAAAGTGCTCCCCCCCCCCTCCCGGGAGAAAGAAGTCTGTGAAAAAACTGAAAAAAAAGTTGTTGTAGTGTTGGGCTGTCTTCAGTCCTCCCAAGGTGAGTTCCAAAACGGAACTTACCTGTTTTAAACCTGATTGTCTTAGTTATAATTGTAAAATGTCTATATTGTGTGATTATGTTACGATTTTTGTTTTTTGTTTTTGAAAAATAAAAGGTTATAAATGTTATAGATTCCAGCCTAAAATTGTTATATATGAATACTTTAGGAGAGGGTGAAAATATGAAAAGAGAATTAATCAGATGTTTAATTTACGACTGAGACTGTATGTCTACGAACATTAAGTATTGCAATCTACAACGGCTAGTGATGTATTTGTTTTTCAACCTGATAATGTTATAAATA